CAGAAGTTCCTTCCTCACTAATTTCAGGAACATTGGCATTTTCCAAACCTACAGCAGTTTCTTCCTCACTAATTTCAGGAGCATTGGCATCAAAAGGTACATTTCCATTAGCATCAGTAAATATACTTTCATTAGCATCAGGAGAAACAAACAGAGAATCAGGTTCAAGTTCAAACTCAGGCTGAACCCCAACAATCCTGCTATGGGAATTCTAGTTTCATTCTTCCAGTTGTTCATGTTCCATTCTTCCAAGTTTAAAGGATTGTTCCTGATTTCTGTGCATTGAATTTTATGCTGCCTTATGTATCCTGACTTTTTTGCATTTCTGGTTTCTCATGCAACTCATGTACCTTGAATCTTATGGACTATTTCATACATTTGGACTTAGAATTTTTTTTGCTATTTTTGCTGAACTGCTTTTTATATATTCTTCAATATAACTGGGTTGTTGTAGGTTTTTTCGGGCTATGTGGCCATGTTCTAGAGGCATTCTCTCCTGACGTTTCGCCTGCATCTATGGCAAGCATCCTCAGAGGTAGTGAGGTCTGTTGGAACTAGGAAAAAGGGTTTATATATCTGTGGAATGACCAGGGTGGGACAAAGGACTCTTGTCTGCTGGAGCTAGGTGTGAATGTTTCAACTGACCACCTTGATTAGCATTTGATTGCCTGGCAATGCCTGGAGCAATCTTTTGTTGAGAGGTGATTAGATGTCCTTGTTTGTTTCCTCTCTGTTGTTGTGCTTGAAGTTTACTAATCAAACTGGAGCAGGAAAAGATTGACTGTGATGACTTCTTCGAATCTCTCCATACAAGCATGTGGACAATTTCAACAGAAAAGAGGAAACCATGAAAATGAACAAAATCTGGCTACCAGTATTAAAAAACTCTAAAATTGCAACAGCACAACAATAGAGAGGAAACAAACAAGGGCATCTAATTACCTCTCAACAAAAGATTGGCCCTGGCACAGTCAAGCCATTGTATGCTAATCAAGGTGGTCAATTGAAACATTCACACCTAGCTCCAGCAGACAAGAGTCCTTTGTCCCACGCTGGTCATTCCACAGATATATAAACCCCCTTTCCTATTTCCAACAGACCTCACTACCTCTGAGGATGCTTGCCATAGATGCAGGCGAAACGTCAGGAGAGAATGCCTCTAGACCATGGCCATACAGCCAGAAAAAAACCTATAACAACCCAGTGATTCTGGCCATGAAAGCCTTCGACAATACTTCAATAGACTGTTTTGCTAATTCACATTGGACTGTATTCTGGTGGTTAAGTACAGATGTGCTTCCTGTCCTGGAATACAACAGCTACAAGTCAGAAATGCCTTGATGGCTCACAATAACCACAACAAATGTGTCTTTAATTTTTAAACTTGGCATTCTCTTGCCATACCCAGGAAGGTATTCCCTTCTCCCTGTTTTTGAGATTCTTTTAAAGAATCGTTCGCATTTTTCACAGCTTGTGATGAATTTCGTAAGCTTATTATATCTTGTGGCTTTTCCACCGCTTAAATCTGGATTGCTCTGATGTTTTTTTTCCCTTCTTTCTTCCCTTTTCCCGTTTAAAGTTAGAGAATAAATCTATTTCTTTTCCTCTTCACTTCTTTTATCTTTTTCTATGAGTCTGGCAGAAATCAGTGTCAACTTTACTGTTGTTTCTAGAGATGGGGGAACTGAGGCACACAGAGATTAAAAGGGGTCTATTAAAATTCCAGTTTAAATGCTGAGAGGTTTGTCAATGTTTTTCTCTTTAATAATTTGGTGACCTGATCTGTTGCCAAAGATAACTAAAGTTGTGTGAAATCAAGGTTTGGGGAGATCGTATGTTCCAAATCTGATGTGAAAGTCTACAGTCTATATATTGTCGAAGGCTTTCATGGCCGGAATCACTGGGTTGTTGTAGGTTTTTCCAGGCTATATGGCCATGTTCTAGAGGCATTTTCTCCTGACGTTTCGCCTGCATCTATGGCAAGCATCCTCAGAGGTAGTGAGGTCTGTTTGGAAGTAGGAAAATGGGTTTATATATCTGTGGAATGACCAGGGTGGGACAAAGGACTTTTGTCTGCTGGAGCTAGGTGTGAATGTTTCAACTGACCACCTTGATTAGCATTTAATGGCTTGGAAGTGCCTGGGGGGAATCTTTTGTTGAGAGTGATTTGATGTGCCTGATTGTTTACTCTCTGTTGTTTTGCTGTTGTAATTTTAGAGTTTTTTTAATACTGGTAGCCAGATTTTGTTCATTTTCATGGTTTCCTCCTTTCTGTTGAAATTGTCCACATGCTTCTGTATTTCAATGGCTTCTCTGTGTAGTCTGACATGGTGGTTGTGGGAGTGGTCCAGCATTTCTGTGTTCTCAAATAAAATGCTGTGTCCAGGCTGGTTCATCAGGTGCTCTGCTATGGCTGACTTCTCTGGTTGAAGGAGTCTGCAGTGCCTTTCATGTTCCTGGATTCAGGTGGTCAGTTGAAACATTCACACCTAGCTCCAGCAGACAAGAGTCCTTTGTCCCACCCTGGTCATTCCACAGATATATAAACCCATTTTCCTACTTCCAACAGACCTCACTACCTCTGAGGATGATTGCCATAGATGCAGGCAAAACGTCAGGAGAAAATGCCTCTAGAACATGGCCATATAGCCCGGAAAAACCTACAACATCTACAGTCTATACTTTTAAAAGAAATAAATTTGGGGAAATGGTAGAATCATGAGTGTAACTAAATGTTGTATTGGGGGGGGGGGGGCTTTTTAAAGCTGGATGATAGTTAAGGATATAAGAATCTTGTACCACATTCAGAATGTATCGTCAGCTTGCCTTAGCCACAAATTCTATGTTCACATAGTCAACCGAACACAGCTTGGATATATTTTTTTTTGGGGGGGGGATGTCACACAAATAAATATTGATTTTGTCGTTATGCTGATGTGTAGGCATAACTTACTTTATCCTCATAGAGCCTCAGGCTCTCTCTAACACTAATTTGAGTTGTTGGCCATTTTATATAAGGGTCATCATTTTATCATTGTATATACAGGCAGTCCCCGAGTTACAAACATCCGACTTACAAACGACTTATAATTAAGAACGGGGTGAGACAATAGTAAGTCGGAGAAGTCTACCCTTCGGAAGGAAAATTCACTCTTGGAAGAGTTATTATGGGGAAAAGAGATCTCTGTTGGGCGAGTGGGCTTATTAACAAAAGACCCTCTCCATGAATGTACAGCAGAGTAACTTATTAGTAGCAGCGTGACCCAGCACCAGTCGCCAAAAGTGATAAAAGAAAAAAAAACACAGACCAATGTTCTCTCTTCCATAGGAGGCTTTTCTTTATAGCAAAATAGTATGGTTGCACTGTTTACAAGAACAAGGATTCCATAACATAAAGAAGGAAGTTTTTTATACTTCCTTCTTTGCTTCCATGCTGGGCTTCTTTCTCAAGCAGAAAAACAGCTTCACTCTCACAGAGCCTCTTCTCATACTGAAGTTACACAGGAACTTCACACAGTAGCTTTTTACACACAGCAGCCTTCACACACTATGGCTTTCAACTTGGGGTTCTCTCACCGAAGCTTCTCGCACCAGGCCTACTCACTCTCACAGAGCCTCTTCTCACACTGAAGTTACACAGGAGCTTCACATAGTAGCTTTTTACACACAGCAGCCTTCACACACTATGGCTTTCAACTTGGGGTTCTCTCACCGAAGCTTCTCGCACCAGGCCTACTCACACTGAGTCCTACTAGCACTGAAGCCTACCTCACTGTCACGTTGCTAGGGCTCTGCCTTATTTAGGTAGAGATGAATCAAACTCCCAGTTTTAACAAACAGTTTAATTAAAACAACACTTACTTGCTGGCTGTTTTTATAGTCCAAAATATAAAACACAAAGATAGCACGCAGCTACAGAATAAACAAAAACTGGTAGCAAAAATAACTTCGTAGTCAAAAGGGTCAAATGCCGAGAGTTCATTAAACAAAGTCCAGGGATCAAGAGTCTATGCTGTAGTCAAAAGCCAGTCTAGGGTTCCAAGATTACAGGATACAGGTCAAGATACCGAAAATCCAACAGACCTGGGGGAAAAACCAGCAGCATCCACCACCAAAATATGACAATACTTTTCTCCCAAAGATCAGTCCCAAGGTTAGCTCCTTAAATTAAGTAACACCCAGCTGCAAACTATCCCCTGCATGCCTCCACCCTTAATTGCTTTTACCTGTAAACTGTTATTTACAAACTACTCAGCCCTTTAGAACCAAGACTTACATTAACCCTTCTGTCACCAACTGCCAGGTCTACCAACACCAACCACCATCAACTATGGGACATATGACACTCACACTGAGGCCTTTCGCCCACTGAGGCTTTCTCACACTGAGGCCTTTCTCCCACTGAGGCCTTCTCCCACTGAGGCCTTCTCATACTGAGGCCTCTCACACTGAAGCCTCTCTCAGACTGAAGCCTCTTCATACTGAGGGCAACTAACACTGGGTCCTTCTAAGCTACAGGCACACCTGCTTTTATTGAATTGCAGCTTTTACTGAGTCATTGCATCCATTTAACTCTTTTAGTACTTGATTCACATTTTTGTAATTAAAAATACCTAGTTAATTTTTAATATTTCTGACAATCTCCACCAAAGATGTATTTCCAATCCTTGTTTCAACAACCAGCCACATTTTTCAAAATCCAGTGATCACTGTCCATAACTTGGGGGCTACCTGTAATGGGACTTGATCATCCATGGATTTTGGTATCCACAAGAAACCCCAGAACCAAACACCAGTGGATACCAAGGGCCCATTGCACCACCTGTCCACTCTTGAAATGTCAGTCTGGCTTTATAAACAGGGATTTTTTGAGCTAGCTAATAGGTAGGATGGTGTGCTCCTTTTTAATGCTTAGCTAATGAAAAAGTTGTCGTTTTCTGAGCTTAATGAAAGCAGGCATTGCTTCCATTGTCTAATAATTGTTGTATATATTTCTTTAGGAATGTTGGAATACTGACAGCACAATCGCAACGAGGAATGCTGAGATTGTGAGCCTCTTCACGCTTGCCTTATACATCCAATGGTAATACGATGTGGAGAGAGAAGGTAATAGTCGGCTTGCTGGTTCTCCATTTCTCTGGCCCAGAGGAGACGATTTATTGCCCTGCTGTTGCTCTCCTGACAACCCCCAGTTAACTGAAACTTGGGGAGACGAATTGTATCACAGGGTCCGATTGGATCAAAGCTTGCGTCAATCCTCCCAAGGAGAAGATGAAATTTCCATTCTATTGGCCCTTTGTCAAACTGGCACAATAGCATCTCCTTCCAGAAGCTTGCGGAGAAGAACAGTCCTGGTTATGGCTACTGATCCAACGTGATCGGGGTGCGGCACCCACTCTTGGACTCATGACTGGCTATACCATGTTGCGGAATGGGGGCGTAGGGAATGGAGGTCAGCCCTGGATGTTACGGTGGTCCAGTCGCATTCGGCTCACTTGGCTTAGCTTCACGCTGTTCATCATCTTGGTCTTCTTCCCCCTCATCGCCCATTACTACTTAACCACCATAGATGACGCGGACGATGCCGGGAAGCGCATCTTTGGCCCCCGCACGGGAAACGAGCTGTGCGAGGTGAAGCACGTCCAAGACCTGTGCCGCATCCGAGAGTCCGTGAGCGAGGAGCTCCTCCAGTTGGAAGCCAAGCGCCAAGAGCTGAACAGCGAGATTGCTAAACTGAACCTCAAGATTGAAGCTTGCAAGAAGAGCATTGAGAACGCCAAGCAAGATCTCTTGCAGCTGAAGAATGTCATCAGCCAAACAGAGCATTCTTACAAGGAGCTAATGGCTCAGAACCAGCCCAAGCTCTCCCTGCCCATCCGCCTCCTGCCAGACAAAGATGAGTCGAACTTCCCCTTGCCAAAATCCAACAGGAACTGCCGCCTACACAACTGCTTTGACTACTCACGCTGCCCGCTAACCTCTGGCTTCCCTGTGTATGTCTACAACAGCGACCAATTCAGTTTTGGGAACTCGTTAGACCCTTTAATCAAGCAAGCCTTTGAATCCACTGTCAGAACTAATGTGTATGTTACTGAAAATGCAAATATTGCCTGTATATACGTAATCCTAGTGGGGGAAATGCAGGAGCCTGTAACGCCAAAACCTACTGAAATCGAGCAACAGTTGCACACCCTTCCCTACTGGAGGACAGATGGACACAACCATCTCATCATCAACTTGTCCAGGAAGTCGGAAACTCAGAACTTCCTCTATAACATCAGCACAGGGAGGGCCATGATTGCCCAGTCCACCTTCTACGATGTGCAGTATCGTCCGGGCTTCGACATCGTGGTGTCTCCTCTCGTCCATGCCATGTCTGAACCCAACTTCCTTGAGATCCCTCCCCAGGTGCCAGTCAAACGGAAATACTTATTCAGTTTCCAAGGTGAGAAGGTGGAGTCTCTCCGATCCAGCTTGCAAGAAGTACGTTCGTTTGAGGAGGAAATGGAAGGCAATGCTCCGGCGGATTACGACGACAGGATCATTGCCACCCTGAAGGCTGTCCAAGACAGCAAGCTGGACTTTGTCTTGGTGGAATTCACATGTAAGAACCAACCCAAGCCAAGCCTGCCCACTGAGTGGGCTCTTTGTGGAGAAAGGGAAGACAGACACGAGCTACTGAAACTATCTACTTTTGCACTGATAATCACCCCAGGCGACACCCACCTTGTCATCTCCTCCGGGTGCGCAATGAGACTGTTTGAGGCTCTGGAAGTCGGAGCCATCCCAGTGATCCTTGGGGAGCAAGTCCACCTGCCCTATCACAATGTGATCCGGTGGAACGAGGCAGCCTTAATCATACCAAAGCCACGTATCACGGAAGTGCATTTCCTCCTGAGGAGCATTTCTGACAATGACCTCTTGGCCATGAGGAGGCAGGGCCGCTTCTTGTGGGAGACCTACTTCTCCACCTCAGACAGCGTCTTCAGCACCGTCTTGGCCATCATAAGGACTCGAATCCAAATCCCAGCTGTCCCCATTCGAGAGGAAACGGCGGTAGAGATCCCTCACCGATCCGGCAAAGCCGCTGGCACGGATCCCAACATGGCTGACAATGGGGATTTGGACCTGGGGCCAGTGGAAACAGAGCCGCCGTATTCCTCTCCCAAATACCTGCGCAATTTTACCCTCACCGCAATGGATATTTACAGAAACTGGAACGCAGCTCCTGGCCCTTTCCACCTCTTTCCCCACACGCCCTTTGACCCTGTCCTGCCATCAGAAGCGAAGTTCTTAGGGTCTGGGACTGGGTTTCGACCCATTGGAGGGGGAGCTGGTGGCTCCGGGAAGGAGTTCCAAGCCGCGTTGGGTGGCAACGTCCCCAGGGAACAGTTTACGGTTGTCATGTTGACATACGAGCGGGAGGAAGTATTAATGAACTCCTTGGAGAGGCTGAACGGGCTCCCTTACTTAAACAAAGTGGTAGTGGTCTGGAATTCACCCAAGCTTCCATCAGAAGATCTCCTGTGGCCGGACATTGGCGTTCCAATTGTGGTAAGTGTGATTCAGATACTTATTGGGGTGGGGGGCAGGCAGAAAGACCATTTTTCATTTCCTACAATCTGTGTTGAATTTTTAACTGTGTAATAAAGTTTGCACCAAGTTGGATCCCTCAAGTGTATATGCAGTGGTGAGCCTATGAAGGCCATAGAACAGACCCTCCACTTTTGTAAGACTTAGGGGCACAGAACCCCTGCAAAAGTGGGAAAACTACAGAGTCAAAAAAATGTAACTTGAGAGAACACCTCTAGGAATTTTTAGGTTCTCCAAGACAACTATGTGATCATTACCCTGGAGGATCTAGCAATTGTTGAGAACATTATAATCAAATCTGTGAACGATCAAATCCTCCAAAGCTAAACCAGGGAATGGTGTCTGGAGAGGTGACGGTCCATCATTCCTACCACCACTCTGCCCACTTAGTCTGAAGATCTCTGCCATTGTCAACTTTGAACCCTTCTGAGCCCTACTAAGATTCTTTGGAAGGTTTGGAGCAAAGCAGTTGAGATGATCAACAAAGCTGACAGATGACATTGGGCTTGATTTACACTTAGGGATGAGCTGGAGTCCAAAGTCTGGGTAAGAAGTTCAAAAAGGAGGTTTTATAGCTTCGTTGATCAAAATCTAGAGGCATAATTCAGACTTGGGAGATCTTGTTTTTCATGAAATGGGGTTAGGATTAGGTCTAGGAGAGATCACATTGTGGCTGTGTGCTGCTGTCTTCCCTTTCAGGACTCAGGTTTGGTGTTGACATGTATGTGCTAGTCTGTCCTTGTGGAGTGATCACTTGCTGGCACTATCTTTGGGCTCCATTTGAGTTCCAGATACCTTCTTTTTAGAGGAAAGAGGAGGTGTGGGAAGGCATGACTTTGGAGGCCTGACTGTCCTTCTTTGACTGCATGTTCAACATGGCCATGCTCATCTTTTTGGTGATGGTTCATAGAAACATAGAATGACAGAGTTGGAAGAGACCTCATGGACCATCCAGTCCAACCCCATTCTGCCAAGAAGCAGGAAAATCGCATTCAAAGCACCCCCAACAGATGGCCATCCAGCCTCTGTTTAAAAGCTTCTATAAAAGGAGCCTCCATCACACTTTGGGGTAGAGAGTTCCACTGCTGAACAGTTCCCAACCTATTTTCTTCAGCATTGGATGCACACTAAAGTGTGTTTTCCATTGAAAGCAATAATAATAATAATAATAATAAAAACAAAACAAAAAAGATCAGGAGCAGAGTGTTGTATGTCTCCTTTGTTGTTCCATAACCAGGTTTTCACTAGCTTCCTGAAGGTCAGAAGGGAGGGGGTGGATCTAATCTCATTCGGGAGGGAGTTCCATAGTTCCATGGTTGAATGAGTCTGCAGTGCCTTTCATGTTCCTCGATTCGTGTTTGGGCAATGCTGCTGTATTTGGTGGACCCTATGTAGACTTGTCCACAGCTGCATGGTATGCGGTAGACTCCTGCAGCAATGAGAGGCTCCCTCTTGTCCTTTGCTGAATGCAAAATTTGTTGTTTTTTCTTGGTGGGTCTGTAGATAGTTTGTTGGTTGTGTTTCTTCATCAGCTTCCCTATGTGGTCAGTGGTTCCCTTGACGTATGAGAAGAACAACTTCCTTTCCCTTTGATATCCTTCTCCAGCAAATCAAGAAGGAAATGGCTTCTTTTCTATTTCTTCCAGGTGTTATTTTTTTTCTAGATCTTTACCTCTCTAGCACAGAGGACAAATTTCGTCATTCACTTTGTGTTCTGTCTTCCAGGAGCATGGTTTACATTGCCTTTTAACTGCATGGGATAGCATTCTTTGCATTTCCCCAGGGTTGCTATAGACCCAGCAGCACCCTGGAAGTTAAACAGTATCAGAGTCTGGAAAGCCAGGCTGCAGGCCCTCTGCAGTTATTGGTTTAGAAAGTATCTCTTTGGGTTAGGAGTCTGCCCTTTTTCCTGGGCTTGAGATCTCCATTTTGGAATCTCTCCTGCCTCCTTCAGTAGAGAAAAGAACCTCAGATGTGCTGTTGGTCAGGCAGGGAGCTCTGAAAAGCCATTGTGAGTACAATTGAGTTATAGATAGATAGAATAGGAATTGAGCTATTGAGTTATAGAGAGAGGTATATTAAGATATCGAGATAGATAGATAGATAGAATAGTAATTGAGTAATTAAGAATTGAGATAGATAGATAGATAGATAGATAGATAGAATAGCAATTGAGATATTGAGATAGTAATTGAGTTATTGAGAAATAGAGAGAAATAGTTATTGAGTACTATTGAGCATTACTTCATCACCAAAACCGACCTTGAGGTTAGATAGGGGAAGACTTGTTCTTTCTAACCATAGCATCTCAGGGTTAGGGTGAAATGCCTCCTCTTCATCCTGGAAAGAAGTGACAAGTGGAGTGCCGCAGGGTTCCGTCCTGGGCCCGGTCCTGTCAACATCTTTATTAATGACTTAGATGAAGGGTTAGAAGGCAGGATCATCACGTTTGCAGACGACACCAAATTGGGAGGGATAGCCAATACTCCAGAGGACAAGAGCAGGATTCAAAACGATCTTGACAGATTAGAGAGATGGGCCAAAACTAACAAAATGAAGTTCAACAGTGACAAATGCAAGATACTCCACTTTGGCAGGAAAAACGAAATGCAAAGATACAGAATGGGGGACAATGCCTGGCTCGAGAGCAGTACGTGTGAAAAAGATCTTGGAGTCCTCGTGGACAACAAGTTAAACATGAGCCAACAATGTGATGTGGCAGCAAAAAAAAGCCAATGGGATTTTGGCCTGCATCAATAGGAGCATAGTGTCTAGTTCTAGGGAAGTCATGCTACCCCTCTATTCTGCTTTGGTTAGACCACACCTGGAATATTGTGTCCAATTCTGGGCACCACAATTCAATAGAGATATTGACAAGCTGGAATGTGTCCAGAGGAGGGCGACTAAAATGATCAAGGGTCTGGAGAACAAGCCCTATGAGGAGCGGCTTAAGGAGCTGGGCATGTTTAGCCTGAAGAAGAGAAGGCTGAGAGGAGATATGATAACCATGTATAAATATGTGAGAGGAAGCCACAGGGAGGAGGAGGGAGCAAGCTTGTTTTCTGCTTCCAGGAGTCTAGGACGCGGAACAATGGCTTCAAACTACAAGAAAGGAGATTCCATCTGAACACGAGGAAGAACTTCCTGACTGTGAGAGCCATTCAGCAGTGGAACTCTCTGCCCCGGAGTGTGGTGGAGGCTCCTTCTTTGGAAGCTTTTAAGCAGAGGCTGGATGGCCATCTATCAGGGGTGATTTGAATGCAATATTCCTGCTTCTTGGCAGAATGGGGTTGGACTGGATGGCCCATGAGGTCTCTTCCAACTCTTTGATTCTATGATTCTATGATTACTTCATCTCCAAAACCGACCTTGAGCTTAGGTAAGGGAACACTTATTCTTTCTAACCATAGCAGCTCATGGTTAGGGTGAAATATCTCAGGATTTTTTCTACCATTTGGAGAAAGGTTACCTCAGTAATTGAAGAAAAAGGGAAAGAAAGAACATCTCTATGGTTTCTCAAATTGACTGTTTGTGTTGTAACTTTATCAAGCTGTGCCAAGTCTGCCAAGGACTTTGGAAATAAACATTTTGTTGATGTTCATACCTTGACTGGCATCAGTTGCTGAAAGTATTGAGTTATTGCTTCAAAGAAAGACCCCAGAGGTTCACCCAAATAGAGAGAAAAGCACATCTTAGTTTTAATGTTGTAAAGTCTGGGTGTGACGGCACACTTTGAGAAACGAAGTGGTATTTTGAAAGTAAAAGCAATGTTTACATGTGATGGAGGTACCTGTTGCTATTTTGTCAGCTAGAAGCCTGATGCTGGATGAAGTGAGCTTCTTAATATATTTGATCATACCATTTCTGACTGGTAACTCACTGAGAAATGAATAAAATTGTTCCTTCTTTCCTCACTTCCAACCCCAGGAGGAGCAAAATGAGTTAGTGGTTCATGCTGCTGCAAAACGAGTTTCACATTAGTCCCGCTGACTCTTGAGTTTGTTCTTATCCTCCCTTGAAAAACCAACAGCATCCTTGAAATAATGCCCACTTAAATATATATATATACACTCTTCTTTGCATTTTATCAGACAACAGGATCTTTTCACAAATGTACAAACATTGTACCAGATTATTCCAGTTCTTTCTGCAGCCCTGGAATTTGCTATATTTGGAGAGGATGTTGTTGAAAACCCGTTTCTATTTATTTGCAAGTTTTAGCCTGCCTTATTTATTGGCAAAGAGCTATTTGAGACACAGCAGACAAACAATACATTAACATACACAGTGAAACAAGATACAGCGACTGCATTTTAAAAAAAGAACCCAAAAGATACACAAAAGCTTTCCCTGCTTCCTGGATTAATTTTTGATTAACATCTTCCTAAAGATGTCAGCTTAACCTTTCAAGGCTACGTTGAGGAGAAATAGGAGATTGCGGCTTTATATCCCTGCACGATTGAGTGATTGCTTGCTTCAAACAGGTTTTTCCAAACTTTTTCAGTCATTCAACCCTTCAGAAGGCTTTTTTTTTTTTTGCAGAATCCTTACTCTGTCCATGATTTGTTGGATCAAAATCATAGAATCATAGAATCAAAGTGTTGGAAGAGACCTCATGGGCCATCCAGTCCAACCCCATTCTGCCAAGAAGCAGGAAAATTGGATTCAAAGCACCCCTGACAGATGGCCATCCAGCCTCTGCTTAAAAGCCTCCAAAAGAAGAGACTCCACCACACTCTGGGGCAGAGAGTTCCACTGCTGAACAGCTCTCACAATTAGGAAATTCTTCCTCAAGTTCAGGCGGAATCTCCTTTCCTGTAGGCCCGATTGGCGGGGATGAGAGACAGGGCCTTCTCAGTGGTGGCCCCTTCAAATGTGGAACTCCGTCCCCAGGGATTATAAATCAACCTCCTCTCTCCTGACCTTCCACAAGAGAGTGTCCCGATTTGCCCTTCAAGAAC